TAGCAGGGAAAATGGCCGCGGATCCTGTTCCTCACCTGATGCGGAGTTCGCGAATGGAAGCAAAATTTCACGAATGGTGCTGTTCGTGAGCCGAATTGGTCGTGAACAGAAGCATTCGTGACCCGAGGTACCACTGTACTCCATTCCCTTTGCATTCAGCTTTCTTTTTTTTTGTTTCTGCTGATATACTCAACAATCACTTCCATATGACAAAGTGGGAAGAAGCACACTTTTAGACATTTTGCTTCTTTTGATAAACATTCACTCCTCCTGATGGACATGATTCCTACTACTTTTCTACCAGCATTTGTGGGCCTTAAAGTTTCTCCATTTATTTTCCTATCTTCAGTAAACATTCTATCAAAATATACAAATTCATCTACTTGCTCTAGTTTTTCACCATTTATTGCAATCATTCACCCCATTTTACCTATCATACACGACTGCCTTTGTTTTTGATACATTAATTTTCAGATCCATATCCTCCAGTGGTCAGGCACAAGTACAGTTTTCACACACACATTAAACAAGTCACTCAGCCAATCCATGAGCAACCACATCCATATTTTCAACAGTTACATCATCTATATTTGTACCCGTACAATTTTTCAACATCCTCCCAGATTTTATTATTTCCTTTCCCTCAATTTTGTCTTGGACACTAATATTTATAGTATAGGTTTCATTTCTAGACTTTGGTATATCACTGTTATTAACTTACAAATCTCTAAAATATTCCTTCCAGCATCCCCTAATTCAGTTTCATCCCAAATAATTTTATCAGTTTTATTTCCAATTCCATTCCACTCCTTCTTTAGCCCTCTTCACTCACTTTCAACACAAGCGATTATTTAGATCAACATTTCCCTGCTTTTTCTCGGTCTCTTTTAATCTTGTGCTCTCTGACTCTGTTTTTTGCAACTATCCTTTTCTCTTTATAAACATTATACAATATCTTTTTTTCATCATTTTTTGCAGCAATTATTATATGCATTTTTTTTCATCTGCAGCCACATTTACTTTATTACATTGCTCTCCATCAAGAGGTTGTTGTTTTTGTACTTCCCATTAGTATAAATAAACATCTTGGGCACTCTTTAACAGAATTCTTTTCATTCTGTTCCAAGCAGTTTCCATCTTTCCTTCTACCCACTTTCCTTTTATTGTGTTGAAAGACTAATCTGTCCTAATAGTCATACATATAGGACTCATGCTTTCTCTTTCTGTAGGCATTCTACTTTAATTCTTTTTTCTTCCACTTTTTTCCTTTAGTTGTGTTCCATTTTTCCCAAGATCCATTCTTGACTTTGACAAATTTGGTCTGTCCCACATTCAGAACCTTTTATATGAACCTGTCATTCATAGATTTTTCTCAAGGTTTCATTATAAACAATCAAATCAATTATACATTTACTGTATATTTATATTCATTATTTTCCTATGTGTCGTATGAATAGACTTATGCCTAAATCACATATTTAAAACAAATCAATCTTTTTCTAAGCTGGTATTCGCCAGTCACCATTCTCATTCATTCTTGCATCTACAAATGACTAATCATTTTTTTCTATATTCTCTGGTTTTATTCATCTGTTCATTTTACCTAGCTGAATATTTTCCCCCAGATTATATTCATCCAGAACATTGCACGGTTTTCTCCAAAACTCATGTCTTTCCATTTTTACTATACACTGGAGTGTAACATACAATAATCATCAACTCATGGATTTCTGTTTGCATGCACCCAGAAAGTAACCTAAGTGATACCAACTCACACTTTCTGGCACACATTTTAACCTTTCATTCATAATTAAATGTAGACCTTTACTTTCTGTATATATTCACCAATTCTACTATACAAGACCAGCTTCATTCATATATATATATATATCTTCTTAGTTTTATACTCACACAACAGATCTGTTTTTCTTTCATTTAATTTATTAATTCATGTTAGAGGAGTACTCTTACATTTCACGTTGCAATCTTCCATGCCATGGTCATCACCGGATAAGCCCATACTTACTGGGCCTCTGCTGTCTATCACGGCTTTGACCGATCAAGGCTATCGCATAGTGCCTTTGTTCAAATAGATAAGGTACTATTATAAGGCAGAATACTAACCTTAGTTACATTTAATGCCTTATGCAACATTCCTTGCTAACAGTTTGGGTATATTTTGGCCAGAATGCCACAAGCACAACAAAAGTTCAATTTATCCAAACATGCTTATACTTTCTATGCAAGGTAGGATCTCTAATTTTGCAAGCAACATATTGTTACTCACATCTCACCAACTAGAAAGTATATGTAGTGTACTAATACCCTCAGGATATAGATGTTTTTAATTATCAAGAATTGTAATATTAGGGTTTTTTTTAATTACACACATACATACGTATACCTGCAATCCAGTGTGAAAAGGGGCAGGGGGGCTTAATGGGCCAAGTGAACCTAGAACTTTCTTATCATTGCAATTCAGTAGCATTGGTATTCTTTAAAGGCAGATGTCCTTTCTATTGTATTTGCTTTAGAAAATGCACTTACTTGGTGTCCTTTGTAGAATAGTGGTAAAAGGATCCTATCAGGGTAAGTCCTGCCAGCCAAAGAGGGAGATATGAACATTGTTGAAAATACCTAGAAAAGAACCAAGATACAGCCTTCATTTTCTGATAATCTAGCATAGCTCTTAGGACATATATACACTACAAACTGTCTTTGAAGACTCCTGAGAAATGTAATTCATTCACCTCCTTACCCCAACATAAATCACAAAGCTATTGAGTGGAAGGCATAGAAGAGATCTCAGCTTCCCCAAAAATGCAGCACCAAAACTTGGTAGTAAACTGTACTGTAGAATTACACTGGTGGGGTTTCCTGTAAATTTTAGGTGAAAAATAAATGGAAATGCATTAAACCTTCAATGGGCTTAACACATTTATTGATATTGAAAATAACCTTCCCATACCCACCAAAAAAAAAAAAAGTCCAGAGAGTTCAATCACATTCCCCTCCAGTAACATCATTCTGTCACTGCCTTCTGTATTCCTTGGCTGCCTAAAATATAAGCTGGAAATCCCCAGCTCCAAAATGCTACCGCTTGGACCAGATTAGAATCCAGATATAGATAATGAATCAAAGGAGACAGTTACATTAAAATAATAAGATTTAAAACTAGTGTAAGCATTCTGGGGCTGATTTGAAAGTTACAATTTTTCAATTATAGAGTTTAAAATTAAGACTTCAGAAAACACTGATATCATTTATTACTAAATGTTATTAATTAATTGATTGCAAATATTTGTGTGCTGCTTACTACAACTCTAGATTGCCTATAATATACATATATTAAAACATCCACCAAAAAAAATCAGTTCAACACTAAAACCACATGTGTTGCTGTCTGCAATTAATCATTCAAGACGATTAACTTTTCTTTTATGATGAGCATTCAATTCACACAGGAAAAGGAATATATTGTTATCTTTTATCACCATCAAACTTATCCTCTGTAAAGTTAAGGTTTACTTAGAAGAATACACTCCCTCTCAGTACACACACATGCAAGACTCTTTACCATTGCTTTTTTTCACCACAAACTGACTAGGCTTTCTTTTTGGAACATGTCTTTTAAATTTTCTGGCTTTTTCATTTTATGATATTCCAGCTTTTAACTGAAGATAACTCCAGAAGAAAATCTTTAAGAAGGTTTGGGACAGAAATAGGAAGTTATAACTGTAAATGAACAGTCATTCAAAAATCTTATTTACTCAAATAATAAAAGGAATAAAGGGCATACACAACATGATAACCTTCTAACATGTAAAGTTTTCTCTATGTACAATATCCTAGCGACTGCATGAATCTTACTACTTAAGATTTTGCCACAAATATCAGTTTCTTTTATTTTTTACAGAATAATGGGAATGCTAATTTTGTGATAGTCACTACATACTTGAATTATTTTAAAATTCCAAAATTCAAATTTAACTGTTAAAAATGGCTGTATATGAGTGCGTCCATATGTCTACTTCTGCTGCTGTATTCAGGAATGTGGTTGTTATTTTAATAGTATTACAAATTATACTGCACATAATTGCAGCCACAATAGAGTAAAAATTCAAAAATGTCAAAAGGGACAGCTTGGGGCTGCATTTATCTGTGCACTGATTTCTGCTTTTTCCATCTATCTCAGAACCTAAAAGCACTCCTATCTGTCACCTAGAACAGTTTTGTAGAGCAATATGTTTAAGGCCATTCTTAAGTGATGAAGAGATTTGACAGATGCTGCTGCGGATATAGCTAATTAGTCCTGCAAATTCTGGAATATATTTTAAGAAAGTATTTTTTAGCAGTTTCTGAATCAGGGTGCTGCTGGATAGACAGCATCTACTGCTACTAATCAAAAGGCACAGGGATCTTTACCTTCATAACAAGGTTTTTTAGACTGGGAAAAAATAATAAATGGAAATCACAGAAAGACTAAAATGGAATCATTCTATCTCCTAAAACCCATTTTTGAAGGAGAACAGTTATGCAGCAAAAACTTTCTATAGATGTTTTCTCAAAACTACATTTGTTATTCATTCATAAGGCTGGCTTCTAATTCATGGTGATTTTTATCACTTAAAGAAATACATTGGAAGATTCAGTGCATAAAAGATTTAGGGCATAAAACTCCATGAAAGAAATAAGCATATTGCTAATGTAGAACAAAACCAAAAATGCTGTGTGGTTTTTAAAAAAGGTTTTGCTGAGTAAAAATTTAATTTGTACATTGGCTGCAAATGAAACCAGATTAAGAAAGCCCTTTTTCCATTTTGCCATGGTGATGACCTCCAACTGATGAATTCCCTTGCTTCTTTAACTCTCTCACCCATCCCTGTAAAACAAGCACCAATTGCTTTCTTTTTCATAGTTTTTTGAAGACATATAGTTTGACATTTTATGTAAGTACTCCCTAACTCTCCCTCATAGATGATGTCTTCCTGGCGGATACATCCACCAGTAGACCAGAAAAAAGAAGAGGAAGAGGAAGAGGAAGAGGAAGAGGAAGAAGAAGAAGAAGAAGAAGAAGAAGAAGAAGAAGAAGAAGAAGAAGAAGAAGAAGAAGAAGAAGAAGAAGAAGAAAACACACTTTGACCATTATTCCTATCACTTGGGCTAGAATGAGAAGCTTGCAGAACATTTGTCAATTTCATCTGGTTAGAAAGAAAGAAGTGCCACTGTTTTATTAGTGAATTTATTAAAAAGAGAGAGAAAAATAACAATTGTACTATTATTTCCATCCCTTAGGCTATGAGAGGAAATTTGCAGATTCCTTGACAATTTCACCTGTTGAAAACAAAAAAGGTCTACCATTTCACTATCAATGAATTTGGGAGGAGAAGGAGAAGGAGAAGGAGAAGGAGAAGGAGAAGGAGAAGGAGAAGGAGAAGGAGAAGGAGAAGGAGAAGGAGAAGCCCAGCCTTTCAACAGTCTGCCAATGAACCTGATAAAAATTTTTTTAAAATTTTCCAGCATTTCACTGGTCCAGCATTTCACTGGTCCAGCAACTCAGGTTAAAATGGCCATGGAGGGCAGCACCACTGACTTCAGGGGAAGAGTATTTCTGCCATGTGCAGAGTAGCCAATTGGAGCAGAGGCATTTGTAGGAGAAAAAATGGCACTGATTAAGACAAGCATCTCCCTCCCTAATTCCCTTCCCAGGGACTTAGGAAACAATAAACCCTGTCAACTCAGCCATAAAACATTTAGAAGGCCATGGAATGTGATAGAGTTAGGAGAAGAAGAGACAAGCAAAGGCTCTGGGAAGCAAGTGGAAAGTTTGGAATGAGCATCATGATTGATTTGTATGCCACCTATTCCAGCAATTCTATGCTGTATGTCTAATAAAGTATAATTAAGATGTTAGAGAATCTTGTGATGAGCAACCTTTCTCTATTGGCTAATCCTGAATGGTTGCTTGGTTCATGAAGAACCTTCAGAAAATGAAGCACCAGAAGCAGCACCTAGAGAGTTGGTGCAGAAAGACAATAAGTGAATCTGATCAGCTGTGTTTTGGGTGGTCAGCTCTTGGGTTGATCAGGAAAGATCAACATCAAGAGCTCTTCCCCAGCCATTGTGATCAGTTAGTGTAACATTTTGCTGACAAAGTCATCCAGTTTTGCATTTTTTTAATGGTGTAAATGCTTCTTCGATCCCAATTCAAAAGGCTCATTCTGATTTCAATGTCTTTTATGACTTGGGACTTTAAATAAAGGATGACTTCTTCCTATATGCATTTGCTTTCTTCTGTCTTTGATATTATCCAAAGTCTTTTTCCAAGTTCCCCTTCTGGAGGCAATTATGGAAGGTGGTCATGCATAAAACAGTCTTTTCACAATTCTTCCAGCCCACCCATTCATTTAGATATGAATCTCTTCTCAGAAAGATCTACCATCTGGCTTCCCCCCATCTTCCAAATACTTGGCAAAGACTTAAAAAAAAAAAATCCCTAGGATTTTTAATCTATGTGGAATTGGAATACTAATTTAGCTCCATAAATTTTATTCCTTTGTTTCATGTATGTTTATTCTTTTCTAAAGTATGTGGGAGTTATTTATATTATGTTTTTATCTGCTCCATTTAATTGAATTTTTATTGTAATAGAAATTTGGTAATTATACCTTGTCCTTGTTTTTGTCTTATGAACTACACAGATAATATCTGTTATAAGTTAATTGATAAACAGTGTGTGTGCGTACATATAAATCAATCAGCAATGCTTCAAATGAAATGAATTCAAATTAATTTTTCCTGCATTCAGGTAAGTAATCCTACAAGGGAGAACTAGGTGAGAAGACCAAACTAAGAAGAAAAACAAAGGAAACAGAAATCACAAACAGCGGAAGAGCCAGAGTTGATGCTCGGAAATACAGCTAAAATTCCAAGCAAGAAAACTTTCCCCATTCCTTAAGATCCTAATGTACTGGATTGTAATTCTCCCCATCAGCGTTGCATAGAAGTTATTAAGTGGGAGAGGGGATATCAGCAATGATGCTGAGAAATACAGCTATACTTATCTACAGTACAAACTATCAATTCTCTGGACAAAGTTATAATACTATGTGATAACCAAACAGGCAGAAGTACAAACAAAAATGTACTGTCCACCTTCATCCGGAAAACCCACAATCCATCTTTTCAAAATCTTATTTTCAACCTAAAGACCCACATTTGAAACCCAGCCATATGGTTATGAAACAGTTTCATCCTTCATCAAAAGTTTCTGTAAAGCAAGTTACCCCCCCTTCACCCCCCATTTGCTCCTTACCTCCAAATGCCTTTCATTTTGCCTGTGGTCTGTCACAGTGATAGGTGGATTTCTTGTTAGCCAGCTGGCAGAGCGCAGTTCCTGTATAGAGTTGCTCAGCAGTCTGGGCAGGGACAAAGGGGGTGGCATGTTGCCAAAGTACTAATAAGATACATAAATCTGAATGGCACATATAGATTAATGCTACTTAGATAAACATGAATGAAACACAAAAGGCAAATAGAAATATTTATATAAGATCATGGAAGGTTCAAAAAGCCTTTCCGTGATAAGAATCTCATCTTGAGCATAGGAAAAACTGTTTATTCAGAATTCATTTTTGTAAGTAATACTTGGATACTCTGGAAATCAGTACTCTAGTTTCTCTTCAGATCATATAAATCTTTCACCTTTTACTAAAGATTTCCGTGGGGAGGAATGTTTATGAGTTTGTAATTAATTTTGGCTCCTACCCTGTGGAATGCCCTTCCTGTTGAGATCCAGTAGGCCCCCACCCCCTTAACCTTCCAGAAGGTAGTTAAGAGTTTGCTTTCCCCCAGGCCCTGGGATAATGAGGCTGGAGCCCGAGGGACTGTAAAGGTGGTTGGATGTAGTTGCCAGATTGGATGCCTGGTTTTTCTTGTTCCTTGTACTGATTTTATTGTTGTGTTTTTTATTACTGTTCTGTTGTTAGCCTCCCAGAGTTGTGTCTCACAAGATGGGTGACTATATAAATATTTTTAAGTAAATAAGTGTTCAGCCAGACACTTTTATCTGTTGGAATTTTAAAAAAATTTACAAATTTTTACCTCTAATTAAATGAAAAAAATGGAAAACCATAGAAAAAGAAAAGAAGGAGCAAAACTACCACCACCACTACCACTACTACTACCCCTGTTACTACAAACTATATATAAAGACTTTTCATATATAGAGCTTCACATAATAGTTTCAGTCAAGAATTATTATATTTCATTGCGACTTATAAACAAGATGCTTACAGATGCAGATTATGGATGGGTGAGATATGATGGCAATACAGTTTGGGGGGGCAGGTTGTTATGAGGCTGCAGTGAGAAGGAGAAAAATAAGATGGGGAAGATAAGGAGCTAAATCTTGGCAAATGTTTGTTATTTCTCTTTGTTATTTCCCAGCTATAGTATTTTATTGTTTATTTGTCAGATCTGTATCCCTGCTTTTCCACAAATAGATGGCATGCTAAGTGGCTAATAAATGAACTAAGTCTGTCTGTCTATCTATCTGTCCTTTGAGTCATTCTTGATTCCTGGCGACTACCTGGACAAATCCATGTAGTTTTCTAGGCAATATTTTCAGAAATGGCTTGCCCTTGCCTTCTTCCTAGGGCTGAGAGAGAGTGACTGGCCCAAAGTCACTCAGTTGGCTCTGTCCCTAAGGCGAGACTAGAACTCACAGTCTTCTGGTTTCCAGCCTTTAAGTACTACATTAAACTGGTTCTCATTTAAAATATACTTGCACATAATTAAAACACATTCAGATCAATAAATTTACATCATAACCCTATACATCTATACCAAAGTAAACTGAGTTTTGCTGCTTAAGAAGTACTTTGGCAGTAAAAGTACTTAACTAGTTGCAATCTTAATTAATCCTTCACCCAGCTCTTCAGCAAGCAAATGCTTCCTTAATCACTTCCTCCTACTTGTTGATGTTTGCCTGCAAGTTCCCTGGCCTGTCCCTTGTTAACTCAGTAAACATTGGCTTGAGATCCAACAATATGTAGTTAGTTTCCTTCTGTGATATTCTTTGCAGATATACATCATCTTGAATTTAAGACTGGGTCCACCGATTACCCTAAGCACATGTTAGTTTTTGTATGAGCCATGAGTTCTGGTTTAGCTGCAACAAGGCTTCTTGTGGTTTATTCCACAAATCATGAGTAAGCCAGTCATGACTTACGCAGAACGGTGCATCTTACTTTTGGGCTGCACTTGGTTCTATGTGGGATGCTGGGCCCCACACGACTACAGTAATGGGTGGAACCAGGACAAAAATTAAATTTGATTTCATTTACATTGATTTTTATTTCAGATTAGAGATACGGTTAATAGGATCACTCTCCAGTCATGTACTTCTGTTGTATGAAAACTACAACTTGGCTGCAATTTTTGAAGGTCTCTGAGGCCCTCCCCCCATGCCTTCCAGGGAGTGGGGAGGTTGTGTGATCTTTGGGCCTGTCTGCCTTCACTGCAGCCCCTCCTCCGTCCCTGAGGAGTTTGAAAATGTAAAGCCTCTGATGCCGATAGACACAACATAATCAAAGCTCTGTTCCTTCAAATATGTTGTAATTATTTTGCATAGGGCATTAGATCCAGATTTCACTCTGTTCAGAAATCTTTAAAACAAAATGGAGCTATTACGGTATATCTGTCTATAACTTACATACTATCTAAGGAAGTTTCCACAGTATTCTGGGGTTATACAGAAACAGCCCTATTTTGTTAACTGATTTTTTACTCTGTATGGGGGTTTTTTTAGTCCTCCCTTTTTAAAAAAATGGTCTGACAGTAGGATAATGACATATTTAGGCTGAGCCTACTTAACACACAACTGCTGCGGCACAATTTCAGCATGTAACAACTTTATGGAGCTCAGAAATAAACCCAGAGGCCTAGCAAATGTAATCAACAATCTAGTTTAATAATGCACAATTTATACAGTTGGTTATAAACCTAAATCATATGAAGCGCATTATGCCTTTATAGGCTCACTTTACCTCTGTGGGTGGGTGCGCTGATGATCCTTTTCTGAAAGCATGGTGCTAAACATAGGGGAAAAAACAGTCAAATGCAAACTAATGAGAAGAAAATCATGGTTTCCCAACATTATTTGCATAATTTGAATATTTATAGATGTCTTGGTTTTTCTAACGTCGCCTCAGAATTTCTGGTGAATAGGAAATTCTCCATTAAAACCTTCTCTGAATGCCAATTATCACTGAGATAATAAGAAAGAGGTGAGAAGATTCCAGAATGGACATATTGATTTCCTCTGAATAGTATGTCTGTATCTAAGAAGCCTCTCTCTATTGTTTTATGTCTGCCACAGAACAGAGAGATGGATGTGGCTGTAATGATATTTAAGTCATGATATCAGCTAAGAACCGAAAGCTATTTGATCATAGTGGTAGGGTGTAGGTCATCCTCAAGAAATTACAGTACAAGTATACCTGTAGTGATTGTCAGCTAAGAAGAAAAGTGGATGCCAATATGTTATATGACACCAAAGAAGAAATTTAGTTAAATATTAAGGCTACTCAAAAATTACTTGAAAGTGTTCAAGACTACCTGAGCACAGAGCATCCTTGCTATGCATTATTGACTTTTCTTGTTTCTGGGCAAGCCTGAAAAAATATATACTATTTCTTTTAAGAATTACAGGGATTTTTAAAAACAGCCTGACTTAATGAAGAATCAAGTTGCTGTTCTCTTTTTAGTGTATCTTTGCGGGGGGGGGGGTGTATGTGGTATTTTTGAGGACCTCTTTGCTTTTAAGAGGCAAAATGGATTTCACCTTTTAAAAATTAACCTAAAAAAGGAAAATAATGCATATGCATCACAAGAATGAGATAGAAATCTTTACAGAAACGCATTAAAACTAAAATGTTAAAAGTGCCTTTTTTAAAAAGGAGCTTGGGATTTTTAAGAGTGAAATAAGCTTCTACAATGCCTATTTTTGCTCCTTATCTGCCACTGCCAACCTATCAGAAATGCTAAAAAAACAAAACACACACACGCACTTCAGGGGGCTTGGGAGCACAAATCAGACATTGGGTGACTGCATGCAACTCACAGACTGCAGGTTGGCCCTTCCTGCGGCTCTGTACTGATGCTCCAGAGTAAATCCTTCTCTTTTAGTTACATAAGAATAGAAGAGCAGCCATTCTGATTCAGACCAGGCACATCTTAGTCCAGCATTTTGTTTCTCATCAGAAGCTTTGGGGGCAAAAGATGGAGACATATCCTCTCCCACTGTTGTTCCCCTACAACTGGTGTTTGGAGGAAGGCTATCCCGTTCAGAGACAGAGAAAGAAAAAAAAATCTCCCTGTTCATTTTCTCCATGCCACCCATGCTTTTAGACACTTCAGCCATGTGCCCACTCAGTTGTCTTTTTTCCAAGCTAAAAAGTGCTAACCATTTACCCTTCTCTCATAGGGAAGATGTTAAAGGCCCCACATGTTTTGCGTTGCCCTCTCCTTCAGTTCTGCCAGTTCTATTTTATCTATTTTCAAGTTTGGCAATCAGAACTGTGCACAGGACTCCAGATGTAGACACCTCATACATTTGTATAGCAGTTTTTCAATCTCTTTCATAATAAGCTTTAGCCATGGAATTGGCCTTTTTCCCATCTACATATGACCCCAAGATTGGATTGTACAGATTGTACAGATTGCATTTGACATTTGGTTGAACATTCACTCTGATGAAAGAGATCCTTCTGGTATTTGTCTTCTGGGTGGAGCAGAATGGAAATGTGTTGGAGGGCATCTAGCTTGCAAAGGGCTAAGCATACCTATTTGGACATCAAAATAGTTGCTTGTAAATATAACTAAACTGTGTTAAAAATGCTTTAATCATACTTGAGAATGGCTTCTACTATTTCCGCCTGAATCACTGACTTGGTATTTCCTATATCTACCACAAATTTATGAAATATTGAGTTTACACCTAATAAAACCCAATAAAAATACAATAGAATGTTGTGTTTCAACCCATGTAGCTTTAAATTACCTAAATGTTTGTCATGTAATATTTATACAGATAGTAAAATTTCCTTAGGAAAAAACCCTTTCAACAAATAATGCTTCTTTTTAAGGTACAGAACTAAGGAAAAAAAACCTATTATGGAACATTAAATGTTAAATTTAATTAAATATTAGCAACTAATGGTGTGATCCATCTATAAGTAACATTGATTTCAGCAAGGGAGACAAGTTCTCTGATTTCTTAAATCAATATGCCACATCCAGTATTGTTTTGGCATTATCAAAAAACATTTATGCTCATGCCAGGTAAGGCATCTAATTTTTGTAAATTCATCCTTTTCTTCTAGAGGGTCCCCAGACCTTCGGAACAATTTTTCAGATTCTGGAATGCAGGAGTTCCTTTGCTCTCATTCTTTAAAGACAAAAAGATCCCTTTCCACTCTACCTAGAAAACACCCATCAGAAAAAATGGAATGTATTCAATTTAATTCAACTTGCCTTAAAGAGAATGCTTTTTGTGTCAGCATCAACTGAAGGAAATGCCTACAGAGTTAGTCTGACCTCCCTTGATATGGCATATAAGAATCTGAGAGCAGTCATTGGGTAGGCCTTCTCTCTTTCCCTACCAAATATGCTTTCGAAAGTGGTAAACAGAAAGAACGGTCATTCCCAAAGAACTTAAAACTTGGACAGGCTCAGTTTCTTAGCTGAATTGAATTTGTTTCTGATTTTTAATAATA